GTTCTGAGGAAAGTTTTGTATGTGAACGAGGTAGAATTCCCCACATTGTGCCTGGTACTCTTACATCAGAGGAAGCCTTTGGCCTGTGTCACCTTCCAATAAAAGCAGAAAATTTCTTGGTGGCTCATTTTCATTCAGCCTGCAATCCTAATTATTTATCTGCAAAGAGCTGTTATGCTGAATGAGTGGCAGAAATGTAATCCTGTTCATGAATAATTCTGCTGAAAAAGACTGGACCAGAAATTATTAGTCTCCAGTTATTAGTGCAGTACCATGTCAAGTGTTACCCTTGCCAAACTGTGGTTTTTGCTCAGTTCACGTGTAACAGGCAATGTTTCAGAAAGAATGTATGCACACTTCTATACATACATACAGCTAACATTCTCTGCATCGCACACTGAACTTCTCCTTGGGAAAGCTCACAGCTTTGGGATTTTGCTCCTTGTCCTCTTTTTATAACCTCACTGTAGCCTGCGATTATAAGAGAAAATGAGTCTTTTACCAACAAGCTTAGTAGAGTGTTCAGTATTGATCCATACACTGTCAGATACTTCTTCATGCTTGCAAGAGGATGCTTATCAATCTTTCTTGCTGCAATATTTCTAATAAGGCAGTACAGGTAGTCGAATGTTCACATCTATAATTCACCATGTTCCTCCATTTGTTGATATGATCTCTTGCTGCAGAATTCTAAAATCTTCCTAACCTTTCTTGCATTTGTTAAAAGAACACTTGTGCATATTTCTTTCATTAAAAGAACACTTGTCCATATTTCTTTCCATTCTTCAGTTTCCAAAATTTTTAATGTCCTCAGTGTCTTGGACATTGCAAATAAAATACATTGGTAAGGCTGCTCTCTGATCCAAACACATGCCAAGCCTTGTGCCATACCACCAATCTTTAAAAAGATATGTATAAATTTATCATAGTTCTTTTTATCATCTTAAGCTTACACTTGTGGCTTCTGTGTCTTAATAACACAGAGATATACCAAAATGCTGAAAGTTACAAAAATGCTGACACAAAAAGCAACTGGAAGGAATATCTTCCTATTTTGCACATTTTCTAAAAGGCTGTAGTTTCTTTTTTTTCACTGGTTTGGCAGGCACTCAGTGATTAAAAGGGGTAATCCTTCCAGGAAGGGTAAATGGAAACTCCAGCTGTGAGGGCAAAGAAAGAAGACCATGTTTGATATTGCTACACACCATTGAGCAAAAATCACACATACACACAAAAATCTGGTAGAGACAGAAGACTTCTGTTTCTTTTTCTGAAAAATGCAATGGGCATTGACCCGATGCCCTTTATTGTTTCTTGAGATTTGGACAGCCAGCTTGAGATAACCACAAACAAGAACCAAATTGTTCATTACAACTTTACATAAAAACTTATTTTAGCTTTGCGTTATACTCTACTGATACAAATAATGGAGCCAGTTTGGCTCTGAGGAACTGCAATACTATCGACCTTGGAGGAATGTTCTCTCTTTTATTCGAAATAGATGAAAACTGTATAAAGATGTTAGCAACAGTATCTTCTTTCAAATCAAGAAAGACAAAATAGATAAATCATTATCTAAACCTCAAGTGCTCCATGCTGCAAGGTGGTGAACACCACCTAAACAATATTATATCAGCTTCTGTTAAAATGATTGAGAAGTGAGGCCACCAGACACTACAAAAGATTTCATGCTTCTCATGGTGATGCTAGTAAAAAGACAAAAAAAAGTTCAAATTTAAAACAACCTATAATGCAAAATACTGGTTCTAGAAAATATTTATTTTGGCTGTCAAGATTTGTTTAATAATAATTGTTGTTTATAAAATATTTCCATAGTGTCTGTAATGATGTTCTCAGTAATTAGTCTGAAACACCATAAAAGCCTCCTTCTTCTTCAGATAGTAAAACTGGCTTCAAATTACATATGAAGTTTTGCATATGATTTCATCTGAAAACACATAGTGAATAAGAAGGAAAGCAGCAATGGGGACTCTGGAGTTGTGGATTCCACTTCGAGCCCAGCTACACTACTGCTTGTGTGCCTACAATCAAATTACTAACCTTTTTTACCCAAAACCTTCTTTGTACATCTAATAGTGATGTTGTGAGCATTAGCAAACTTGCACTGTGTCTGGAGAATCTCAGACAGAGCTAAAAAATTGAAAGCATTGCCTATTTTGTTTCATATATTTCTAAAATATGTGTTGTTTTTTTTTTTTTTACAGACATACTAAAGTGTTTTATGTTTGGGTTGTTTTGGTTTTTTTTTTCCTCCTAAAGCTTCAAAGCGGGTTGTGCTAGTACTAGTGGAAGTAGGTGTGTACATTTGGGCCCAAAAGGTCAAAATATATCCCTTTGCATTCATCACTTTTTAAATTAAGAGAAAAGTGATCCCAATATTGTTACTGCCAATAATTCTCTGATAGGCTTATTAAATTTCCGGGGGGGGGGGCCGAACGTAGAGAGAGTTAGTTACAATTTCAGATATGTTTGTGCTGATCTTGTTGGACTGCCAAAAAGGAGAAATGGGACTACATTGCTAATGAGGTACATAAGTCCTCAGCAATTACACCAATATTCTTCTAAACATCTGAACTATCAGTCATCTATGAAAGCAAACTGGTGCCTTGATGGTCCAGAAGAATCCCCTTACAACTGTTGGAAACCAAATCATTAATAACACGAGAATCAATTTCTGCTCCTTCTCTCTGCTCAATCAGCAGTATTATAGCAGAGGAGAATTGGGAAAGGGAGAAGCTAATAGCTGACACTTGATTCCTTAAGATATAATTTAACATCTTCTCTAAAGTTAAAGTGAACAGTAGCGTGGTCTGAATTGCTCAACAGAAGAGACTGTATTGAACAAGAACTGACAACAGATGCAGAAAAAAGGTGAAGGGAAAAGTCTGGAAAGGAAAAATTGTTATAAACCAAAGGGGACTTTATGGATGCAAAGGGCCAAGTATGATGTTCTGTATTAACTTTTCTAATGCACCTTTTAAACCATGAACTTTTTGGGGATAAACAGTGGTTTAGCATTCAATTTAAATGAAATTAAGGGAAATATGTGAAAGACAATTTTGCTAAAAGGAAATACAAACTGAAGTATTATGACTGACAGATAGCAAGCCAGACTCTAGAAATCAATGCATTGCATGTGCATGTATTCAGTCCTTCCTTAATTACAAATGTTAAGAAATGAATGAATATTCCTGATAAAGACATGGATTTGCCAACTTAGGTCTGTTTAAAAAATACATAATCTTGAAGATTGATCATTTTTTTTCACTTGTGACAATCTCAAACATCTGGTCTTTAATGTGCATTTACACATTTCAGTTGCATCTAGATAAATCTTGTGGACATATTAATATTTTATTTTTATAACAAAATAATCTGGTAATGATTAAACTTAATTTACAAAGTAAACCATCTATATATACCTAGATACGTATCTATATGCAAAGCCTTAATTTCTGTTTAGCGTAAATATTTTGTCAGTTTTTTTTATTGCACATTTGATAACACGCAGCAGACGTAGAGAGAGTCCCAATTCTGTAGAGCTTTTTACTTGAGTCTCCTCAACCTGTAGAAAAAATGGTCCCAAACCAGCAGGTAGCTCTTACACCTAGTTCACAGCCACTTTAGTGAGAGATGAGTGGCTGGGAAAAGAATTGGAAAAGCAGTTTCTGCATCTTCAATTTCAAAAGTGTTAACTCGCTGAAAGGCTTAGTTTACGTGTAATTGTTACACTATTACAATCCCTTTCAGCTGACTCTTCTTTTGCTCCCTCTCCTTTAACATACTTCATTACACATTCACTCTCCCGATGTCTTCCCGACTCTCTTTCCACCAATCTTCACGTTTAATCACCATAAGCCAGAAATGAGGGTGATTGTGGATGTTGATTCCAACATCTTTGGTCACACAACTGTTTTTTTTTTTTTTTTTTTTTTTTTTTTTTTTTTTTTTTTTTTGCTGCTACTGAGTAGTTGAAGTTATCTGGGAATTATTAGGAACTGGAGCAGATGGCTTGCTATCCTGGAACCCTTGCTGCCAGAAGAGGGAACCTGCTGCACATCCTGGAGAGAAACCCCGGCATACAAACCACACGAGGCTACAGGAGCTAAAAGTCTAAGGTCTCAGTCTTGAGGCCCACAGTCTGTTTTCTTTTACTTCGATGCCACTTCAGCCAAGTCATACTAGATTTACAGACTTCCAGCTCAGAATGAAAACATGCTCACGTAGCTATCTCGCAGAGGTCATTAAAAGAAACAAACAAAAAAAAAAATCAGTATTAAGGATCAGAAAAGGCTGTACACCAAAAGGGCTTTAAACTAGATGAAGGTAGATTTAAATTAGATACTGGGAAGAAGGTCTTTACTGTGAGGGTGGTGAGGTACTGGAACAGGTTGCCTGCAGGAGTTGTGGATGCCTCATTCCTGACAGTCTTCAAGGCCAGGTTGGACAGATCCTTGGGCAACATGGTCTAGCGTGAGGTGGCCTTGCCCATGGCAGGGGTTGGAACTAGATGAGCTTTAAGTTCCCTTCCAACCCAAACTATTATATAATTCTATAATTGAATTATTATATGAATTAACCCTTTTCCAAACTTTGTAAATAGCCTATGCTACATGTTGCAGAGTGAGCAGAAAGCTTCTGCTCCATGCTATCCAACTCAGCCATCGGACATGTTGCTGATGTACTTGATTAAAGCTCCCTGGCTTTAGTTTTAATGATTATTCCCCAACGATTTCAGAAACTTATGTCAAAGCTGCTACATGCTAACGTAGTACGACTTGCAGTATGCATGTCTGGGTACACAGAGCTTGTTTTCTTTTTTCACACCATAGAGGCCCCAGTGCCGAGGCGAGCCCAGAAGCAGCGATCGCAAGGCGCAGCGCCGCAGGAGGGGCCAGGTCGCGCCTCCTCTTCAGCGGCCTCGCTGCACTCCCGGCCCCTCACGGCACCGCTCCCGAACCACCTCCCATCCAGGCCGCGGGACGTCGGCAGGCGCTGTCGCCAACGTCTCGCCGCCGGGCCTACATTGCCCAGCAGGCCCCGCGGCTTGCTGGAAGTGACGCCTTGTGGTATCCGGTGAGCGTGCGTTGGTGGCGCTGGTGGTGGGTTGCGGGAGGCCGGGTCGGCAGTTTGAGGGGTGGGGGTGGCTCCTGTGGTCGTCTCAGCTGCAGTCCCAGCTCTAGCGCTAGCTGAGGCGTTTCTGTCCACGCAGGTGTAGCCATGGAGGACTCCACGCAGAATGGACGCATGCCGGGCGAGGCCGGTGGCGGAGCTGTGGTAAGGAGCCCCCGGCAAGGGTTTTGGGGGGGAGGGGATGGAGCAGGCCGCGACGCCGGCCCCACTCTTGCGGGGGGCATGAGGGCTCTGGGCCGGCCACGGCGTTTCTCCAGCAGCGCGGGCACCCCTTGTGGTGCCGGGAGGGTCCTGCGCCGATCGCAGTATGCCCTGGACGAGCAGTGGGACAGCTCTTTCACTTGTGGAGAAAGTGATGCTGCTGGGCCGCCGTTTTTGAAAACGTCTCTATCAAAACTAATTCCGTGTAGCTGTATTGTGCAAGCAAGACAGGAGATAATGATATGAAGGCGCTTGCAGGTTACTTAGGGTAATTTATGGTCATTTTAATTTTCAATTTCTGGTCCTGCCCTAGGAATGCAGAGGACAAGAGCAGTCTTCAAAAGCAGGTTCAAATTCGGAAAAAGCCCCTTGAGCTCTTTATGGTGAAGGGAAGCTGATGTTTTGACGCTTGGGCACCGAATAGCCAAAAGCATGCTGTGTTTCATCATAGCTTTTTTGGTATGGAGACTGTATCAGGAGTGGAGAGGGCTGTCGTTAAGGAGAGCTCAACAACAGGAGAGATGCTGGGTTACTGTTAAAAGCTTTCTGCTTTTTGGAGGCCAAGAATATGTAGGCCAAAATGATGCTGTATTCCTTATGACATAGTTATGCCAACTGTGCCTGACCCCTTCATTTTTTGTTTCAGTAAGATTTGTGGGGATTTAGTTGTAGGTGTGTGCAGTGTATTTTAAAAGGAACCTTGAATCAATAGTTGCAAAAGTTGGTGAGGTCTAAAGACTTTGCATGATAGCATTTTTGAAGCTGGCAGTCTAGTAAGGGTGGTTTGTGTAGAACTATTTCCACAAAAGATCTTACCACTATATTTGCTTGTAGTGTATAAAGGAGCTCTGTGGTTCTGAGGAAGACTACCTGTTGTTGTTCATGTTAGCAACATCATATGAGTCAAGTATCAGAGAACACTTCAAGCTATGATTTACATCTGTTCAAAGTCAGGGACAGACTTTCAGTTTATTGTAGAAGGGAAGAATGCTCAGTGTATGCAAATAATTAGGATATCAACTTCTGTGGGGTTTTTTTTTCTTTTAATGTAGCAATTTCTGATGGCTAACAAGTTGGATACAGCAATGTGGATTTCCCGCTTGTTCACAGTTTACTGCTCTGCTTTATTTGTCCTGCCTCTTCTAGGGTATGTACTGTAATGTTATAAAATTGCATTAATAATTTGTGAAGTAACTGCACCTCCTTTTCATAGAGTTACTTTTAAGGGTAAATTTCTGTTGTTCAGCTTACTTGGATACTTTTTGTCAGAATTTATATTGGTTTAAACCACTTTTAGATGCGTTTGGAAAATGTGTTGATCAGCTGTAAAGTAGTGAATGTAACAATGAAGTAATGTATTGAATTGTTTTACCTGTGGCACTTACAGTAAGTCAGTGTTATCAGGTTTTGAGTTGTATTTTGGTAACAGTGCTTATATACAATAATAGAAATGCTTCAGGTATTATGCAGTTGTGATGCAATTCTCAAGAGTAGAAGACTTCTGAGCTGGGGTTTGGTTTATGTGGTAACATCTCCTCTGATGATTTGCAGGTTGCATGAAGCAGCAAGCTTTTATCAGCGTGCCTTGCTGGCAAATGCTCTCACTAGTGCCCTCCGACTACACCAAAGGCTACCCCATTTTCAGCTTAGCAGGGCTTTTCTGGCCCAGGCTTTGCTGGAGGACAGCTGCCACTACCTATTGTACTCTCTTATCTTTGTGAATTCCTACCCTGTTACAAGTATCCTTTGTGTCATCGTGGTAATGTCTTTAAACATCTTAAACTTGATTCTCTTCATTACTTGTGCCATGATTTGAAAAACTAGTTTGAATTAGAATGTGTTTGCTATTCATAGAACATACTCTATGTAAAATGGGAGAGGCTTATGTTAATTGATCCATATTCAGGTTAATCACCTCTAACTAGTGCAATGCAGTCTCTGGCTACTTAGATTTATTTAATTTTTTTTTTCCTGAGACTTCAGTTTGGTGGATTTTATGACAAGCCTCAAGTGATACTTTGAGAAGTTGGAAACTTTATCTTTTATTAGCAGTACAGGGTTTATATATGATTCCTCAGTGTAAGTAGGACATACATTATGTAGAGAGGAATTATTCAGCAGTAATTTTTTCAGATAAGTTATTAAACAGTCTGCAAAAAAGGATTCTGTGGGTTGTCAAAGGTCATATGCAAGAACGGATTTTTCTTTGTGCCACTCTTAAAAATGTCCTACTTTTAATGTCTCTGGCAGAGGAATGTCTGTGTTCTTGCTTTCTAAAATCTGTATGTCTATCAACTACATTTTCTTTGGTAAAAAATGCATTTCTTAATAATATTATGACAACTTGTGTTTGTTAGATTTTTAAGTAATAACCTCTTTTGTGTCTTTCATGCAGAAAGAATGCATTTCAGTAGAAATGCACTTGTGTATGTTGTACTTTTGCATACACACGCATTTTGAAGTTAATAAAGTGTAGCTAAGAGGTATAAGAAGCAAAAGGGAAGAGTTATAAATAATAGGTATTAGACACATGCATGTTTTAACACAGTATAGGTCATTCCAGCCAACCTGTTGTGAAGGGACATCAAGCTACGGCTTATGTGTTGGCATAACGTGAAAGAGAAATTAAGTACTTCTGCAGTCTATAATTTTCCTTATCTCTTGCTTCAGTGAGTATTTTTCCAGTTCTGCTGTTCTCTTTGCTTCATGCTGCTACATATACGAAGAAGGTTCTTGATGTAAGTATGATATGATGTATGATACAATTCATACTGCTGATATTCTTGGGGTTCATAAGTGGTTTTGAGTTGCAGCTATTGTTTCCTTTAGCTACACTAGGGGAGTTAGAGTGAAACTGTAGTATGGAATCTCAGCACAGAGAATCTGAGAAATCTTTTCTGTTGCCCTTCCTTCCCCCTGCTTCTGTTATGACTTAGTGATATGTTGACACTAATTATTTTTTTCAAATGCTGTTCTTTGTAGGAAGCAGAAGCAGTTTAACAGTTAAGTTGAAACTTAAGACGTGTCTTTTCAAGCTAAAACATAGCCTGTGAAATTTAATATTCTATTTTGGTAGCAAAATAACAAACTGCAGGGTGAGGATAGCAGGCAAAGTACTTGCCAGTTGTCCCTGCTGCTGAAAGAATTGCTTTATGCAGTTAATGTAACTCCCAGCTTCTTGTGTTCCTAACTAGGCTATCTTGCTACCATGGGTACTTCCTCCTGGTGGGCAGAGCAAGGCTGGTGGCCTTCTCTATGCAGTTAAATCTAAAAATGGGTGAGTGAGGGAATTGCAATACGTCATGTTTTTAATTGAACTCTATATAATTATGGGGTTCCAAGTTTATGGTAGTTTTCTTTGGGATACTAATCTCAATACCTTTAAAGGATCTAGTCTTAAACTGCTGAAATGAGTTGTAAATTATAATTGTTAGTATTTTGATTTCTTTGTGCTAGAGTAGATAGATGTAACTTGTGTGTTTTCTGGCATTAATTTTTTTTTTTCTTTAAAGGCACGAAGTTCAAACAGCTTGCCCTTTCTGAGAAATATTTTGGAGAAACTGAATGCTAATCAACAGAATATTCTGAAATTCATTGCTTGCAATGAAATCTTCCTGATGCCAGCTACGGTTTTTATGCTGTTCAGGTAAGAATTACCGTAAGTATTTTCAGGATTAGAAACTTTCTACACATGATTACTTTTTGAAATAGAGTTTTCTGTGGGTCACAGATCTCCATTTGTATGGTTCTGGCTGACCGAAGCTTGAATTTAATTTGTTTGCTTCCTAGACTTTTCAAGTTGGTGCGTCATGAAATCAAAGTGTTCACTCTGATATAACTTGGCACCAAAAAAAAAACATTCCCTTTCATAGCCTAGGTGACACTGTTGGGTCAAATCAAAGTTTTTCAGGCCTGTAACTTGTGTTCTTCTGCATTGTTTGGCAAGTTTAATTTTGGTCAGTGTAATGGAATATTCAATAAAAGGAATGGAAGCTTCAATAAAAGTGAAGTCTTAATTTTGACTATCAGATTCTAGAAATTTAAGTGGCATGGTATTTAATTCTGCTAAACGTGTGCAAGCAAGAGTAGGTTATGTCTTTCCCTGTGTTACTTCTGACCAGTGACCCTTGTTTCTATTTTTGATTCCATTTGGTTTTACCTGCTCTGCAGCCTGTTGAATTCATTTTGGGGATCTTGAGCATATGCATGTTTGAATCCTTCTAAAGTCATATAGGCATAACGATCTGCCTTTTAATATTTGGAAGGGGAGTACACTTCTTGGAAGTTGATAGAATGCGTAATTTGTCTTTATCTTTTGATAAGTCTGCTGAGCACTTCAGTGTTTCAGCCTAGAAGTACTCCATTTCATTTAAGGCCACTTAGCTGACAGATACACTTTGTATACAGTATCTGAAACTTTCAAGTGCTTTAAGCTTCTCTTTAGGAGCACATTTTTTATTCCCTCTCTCCCTCTCTGGAGAATTTAGTATGTGAAGTATTGCTACTTGATATGTCATCTAGTAGATACTGAAGCTTATAGAAGATCATATACTGAATGTGAAGATCATAAAATGGTTAAATGCAGCTATTGTGAGAATTTGTTCTTTAAAGTGGTTTAACATAGTAAATTGCCTGTAGATACTCTACAGGTGCAGTATTTCCTCTTTCCCCCCTTGTGTAGCTGACTTCTATTACTTCCCCCCCCCCTCCCCCCCCCCCGCCCCAGGTAGAGATACTGCTCATACTTGAAGGAGCTGTAGTAACTTGAACAGTCATGTTCAACTTCAGAGCTTTTCATACTGTATTATGTAAAGAAACTTCAGTCATTAAAATTAAACTCATGGTACTTCTGTGCTTTGCTGTGTATGATTTGTATGCTACTATTTTACAGCACTGTCACATGAAACAGCAGCTTTTGAAATACCAAAACCTAATTTCAGTGTAGCTGAAGTAGTCAGTATCAGCTTGCCATTAATGTCTCAGTACATCTGTAATAGTCTCCTGCCTGTTCTGAGATGTTCTGCAAAAGAACAACAAATATGGTTCAGATATTCAAAGCGCTATGAATAGAGCTGACAAAAGTTGCTGTAACTGGACTATTTATGTCCACCAGTTTCTGTCCTTGACCAGCAAGCTTTTCTTAATAGTGAACAGGCATTCACCCCACTTCTGTAATCCTTTGCCCACTGGCAGAAATGAAACATACAAAAAAGTTCTTAAATGTAAAATCCACACAAGAACAGCACTTTTTTAACTGCTTCATTAAGCAGTTTTATTCTATAGTGTAAGTTTCTTTGTAAGTGTATGGTTATGTGTTTTTCCTTGTCAGTTACGTGTAACCTGAACCAGTGTGACTCAATCTAGCTAAAGCCCTGTTTTGTTTGTTGTTGCATTTTGGTTTGGTTTTGGTTTGGTTTTCTTTTTTTTTTTTTTCTTTTTTTTTTTTGGTCAGTATTAAGCTCTACTCCTGTATTGTTTTTCAGTGGGCAAGGGAGTCTGCTCCAGCCATTCATTTACTACAGATTTCTTACATTACGCTATTCTTCTCGGCGGAATCCATACTGTCGGTAAGTACTAAATTGATTTTGGAAGTTCATGTTTAACTGCATAGGGTTTAGGCATTCAGAAATTTTTAATACTAAAATGAATGCATAATTCATAATACTAAGTCCCTATAATCACAGTGGAATACACCTGGATGCTGGTTCAAGGTTACATTTATTTTGTGTAACTGAATGTTTCTCCCATCCTTGAATGGGAGCTTACAGAACATGCTTGTGTAATTAAAACTATTCTTTGGAGAATAAAATCTTTCAGTTGTTCTGCAGCCATTTGCCAGAAAGATATCCTTATTTTTAGATGGCAGGCCTATCTAAGGGTGAGTCTATACATTGAAAGGAGCTTAAGAACTTGTGTTACATTGACAGGAAAAAAACCCACCAAATTGTGGATGATCTTAAACAGGTTCCTTACCGCCCTTAGATAATGAACATAATTCATTAGTAACCTTAATTGTAAGGTAATTCATGATTCAGGTTAACTGTGATTGACATAGAGCCTTACTGATTTTGTTTGAAAGTTGGTCAGGCCAATACTATTGCTTTGAACTCTGAAACCATGTATATTTCTATAAGGATTTACTCAAGGTAGTGCTTTCTTGGAATCTTTCTTATTACAAGTGTTGCATAGCATAAAATTTTGTGAACATACTTTCCGGTCTGATCTACTGTATTAGAAAATGGTTTGCTACAGTAACCAGTAAAGTGTTTTCTGCTGCCATGGTATGCAAAGACGGGTCTGAGAATCATAAACTTCATCACCTCCTATTCCCTACTGTTTTGTAAGAAACAATTTGTTCCATCTTGGTTCATGTATTCTTTTTAACAACAACAAAAAATTCTATAAAGGTGCTTTATTACTTCGGTATTTAAAAATAATTAAAGTTGTACAATAATAGAACTAGCTTTCAATAGAGCTAGTTTACCTAAAATTCTGCTGGCATTTGTGTAGTTTTAAGGGGAACTGGTGGTGTGGGTTGTATATCTCATGTCTGTCTTCTAATGCTTTTAGAGTGCAGAGTTCTTGCATTCTGGCAACAAGCAGCGCAAACACACACTCGCCTCCCAACTCCTTACACTCTTTTTGATAAAGCATTACCCTTTTTTTTTTTTTTTTTTTTTTAAATAATGTGAGGGGGGTGATGTGCTTTGCGTGTTTTTTTGTTGGATTTTTTTTTTTTTTGTTGGTTGGCTGGGGTTTTTTTCCTTGAAGGTGGAGCTTTTCTGTTTCTTCGTATCTGTAATCAGCTGGAAGCCAATGAACTAAAGTTAATTAAATGTTAATGTTTAAGGGACACTAATTCTGAAGCTCTTGCAAGATAAAGTAACACTTGAGTTGATCTGAAGAACTTGCTAACTAGAGTGTGTGTTGGGGTTGAGAAAAGAAGTGAATACTTCTGATAAATTTTGTAGGATTTTAAAACTCCTTAAATCTGATTTTTCAGGACTCTCTTCACTGAGCTGAGGATTGTTGTTGAACACTTAATAATGAAGCCCTCGTGCCCTGTTTTTGTAAGAAGACTATGCCTCAGCAGCATTTCCTTTATAAGCAGATTGGCACCAACTGTTGCATAGCCAAATTTCAGGCACTTGTGTCTTGTGAACATTATGAGCAGCTAGCACTTCTGCTGATGATTAAAAATTCCTGGTTTTACACTGATCTCACTCCAAGCTGTATAAGAATATATATATGCTTTTCTGGAGATAATATGAAATTTAGCATATCAAAAGCAAGTCATGGAAACTTAAAATTACTGTGCTGTGTTGCTAATTGGTGAAAAAAGTAGCTGCATCCTATCTAAAACATGCCCAGTCATACAGAATTAGTTTTTTAAGAATCGACAGTTGTTTGAGGCTGTTTAAATCTTTAAGGTCTGTACTCAGTAGGTTTATGTTAGTTGGAACTATAGCTGCTATAGGATGTCTCCAGTGGATAGCAGTTTGTATACATAACTATGCAGTACATTTTGGACAGTATTTTTCCGCTTCCTAAATTTATCTGTAGAACCATTTCATCTAAATTACTATACTCAGTGTAAAATTATGACCCACTTTGAATTTAACAAAAGGGATTAAAATCTATGAAGCTGACATAGTTAACACCTTTTCTGAAGGAGGAGTTATTTTTATTAATACTACTTAAAAGAACTTTTCCAAGTTTCTACCTTGTGACATGGTCTTACATCATGTTGTTGGAAGAAGTCTCAGGACTGACCACAGAAAACTCTGCAGTTTTCTTGTCATAACAAAATGTTTTACCAAGCCAAATTGCTGACCTGTAGGCTTTTCAGACAAAGATGCAATGCTTAAACTTTTAGCCATCTCTTACATTTGCTAATCAATGTAAACGAAGTAACTTTTGAAGAATCATTGCAGATTTGTCCTTGTGTCTACAGAAATGTGAGACTGCAGTAATTCAAGCATGTCAGCTTTTTAGAAAATTAATCTGTAGCTAGCTCAGTTTCTGAGACTCTCATTGTGATGGGAAATTTGCATAAAGGATTGCACCTGTTTAGGCAGCTTCTGAAACAAATGAGTGTAGGATTTCTTGGCATAAATCCATCCGATGACTGATCTGAAGCCAGTGTCATGACTACAGACGTGAATATTAACTTGATAGCTGATTATGCATTCATCCAGCAGCTGAAAGGTAGGTAGTGGGGGGGTGGGAATAAAAAAAATCTGTCTGACCACAACTTGTTTCCATAAATTCAGGGCAAAGCATTTGCCGACTCTTGTGTAATTAATGTTAGTATTCTAATTGCATAAAATTAAATGGGTTTCATTGGCCTTTTGTAAACTCCTAGAGCACTGTACTTAACCACTCTTCCTTCTTCAGAGAAGTTTTATGTAAAACAGTTTTGAAAACAGTCTTGAAGCAAAGTATTTTTCTGTAACTATTGAATTACCTTGTTTTTGATGTGGTTATTATTCAGACTTTCCGGTTGTATTAGTTTGTTAGATCAGAGCCATGTATTTATAGACTTCTTTGGTTTTTGCTCAACCTCTTGGTACTGACAAACCAATTGGTAATCGAATGTGATATTCTTTGACTACTTGTCTTGCTCTCTGAACATGATTAGCTATTTGTAAAACACTTGCACACTGCAAAAGCAACTGCATGCAGTAATGCTCTACGGCTGCTAAAGACTTGCAATGAGATTCACTATATGTATATCCTGTAATTTGAGGATTTTATAAAAACTAAAATTTCTACTGCAATAAAAGGAGTGTTAAATGTAATTTGTCAAGCTCTTCAAGCTTATTTTCTCTCTAACAGAATAAACTGATGCTTGAACCTGGAAGTTGAGCAGAATGCTGTCCTGTGTGTATGTGTGCATGTTCTTATATTCCCACTGCTGCTTCTGTATTGGGACACAATGTCTTGTGCATTTAAAAATTATTTTATAGGGAATTTTGCCTTCTAAAGTGCAAAAATTTATGACCCTTTACTTCAAAATTTAACCTGAGAATAAGCACAGCAACAATGGTGTCTAGTCAGAACAGAAATCTAGACCTACTTAATACTCTTTCAGTTCTTCAGCACTTTCTAGACCCTCTTTGTGTTACACGGTAGCTTTTCTTTTTGAGTGGTGATGTCAGACTGTTCAGCTTTTTGCACCACTGTGATTTAAAAATTAATTTGATCATCTAAATTGGTCCCCTCTACTGGGAGTGGAAGGCAAATAAATACTTATGTAATGAAAGCAAATCATGTTATTTCTGAGCAAATTTTTGTGGTCTAACACTGCTGTTAAGGGTGCAGTCAACCGTTTCTCTAATTGTGTACTGTTATTGAGAGGAGTCTAAATTGGATCTGATGGATTGCAACTGTAACTGAAGGATGCTAAGTCTGAGATCCAACTCTATGAATTCACAAGGAGGATTAAAAGGAATATGTGAATGAGATTTCAGTAAGTAGAGAGTTGGAAGACAGTGCCATGAAGTAAAACTTGCATGTGGATACTGGATTTCTTGTTAACTCTTTCTATTAAGTCTTAAAAATGGGTCAGGTGGAGAAAGTGGCATTTGATTTGGCTACTAGTGTATTTTTGGCTTTGCATGGAGTTGCTTGACAAATAAGGCCTGGATTTTACTTGTGGCCTTGTAAAACTTAACTCTCTCGTGTGCCAAGAAAACATGAAACAAAGGGATAAGAGTAACTTCCAAGCAAAATAAATAGGGCAACTGACCTGTACTCTTCATCAACTTTGATTTTTACTGCAGCCTTTAGGCTGCCTAAGTGATAACACCAAGTTTTGTAAGTGCTGGCAAAAACATTCTGTCCTTGCGCCTGCTTCCTTACCACAGTTTGACTGTTTCTGTACTAACAAACACCTGAAATTCTGTTTGAGTCCTGATAAATTGAGTTTTTTTGGGGGGAAAAGAACTGTATGTATATTCATGCTGCTGTGCTGTCAACACCTAGCTGTGATGCAAATGCTGTAACAGAAGTCTGTGGTAGTAGAGATACTTGGCAACTGACCAGAAAATGCCTCCCAACCCCAAATGTGAAGCGGAAGAGTTTTTGTCGTACTAAAAGATTACCTACCCAATGTGGCAACTGTTTCCACTGGTATAAATCATGCTGGTCATTGTTTTTTGTCTAAGTTTTCATAGGTTAAAGTGCTTTTGCAGAGATCTTGTGGGTAGACCTACCCCTTGCTGTGCACAAGCTTGCTATAGGAGTGATGCTTCAGCGTAAGACATGTCTGTTCTCCCCTGCAGATAAATAAAGTATCAGGACCCACTGGGTTTGTTGGAGCAGCTAATGCCAGTTGGGATTTCTTACACACAAAGCAATTCGCTAATGCATCCATCCTTTCCTTTATTGTCTTTTATTTAATTTTATACTTCTGTTGTCATTTTTGTGCTGTCAGTTTTACGTTTTGCTCCCTTTGATGGGTGTTCAAGGGGAGCACTGTCCACTAATGTTTTAATTTGCATGTTTTAAGGATTTTTAATATATTGTAATCATAAGCCACTATGTCTTCCAACAGTTTCTGAGCTGCTAACCATATATGTGATAGTACTGTCCAAACAAATAATGCAGCTGTTTATTTCGTACAATCTGCGTTGAACCTTTTTGTTGTTAGGCACCTGTATTGCAATATTTGCTGTACAGACCCCTTGTTAACTAAGGGAGTACAGTTCTTGCCCATTTTACAGGCTGGAACTGAGACATGGAAGGGAAGAGCATAGCCGGAGGTGCTTGCAAGAGCTCTGGCAGAGCAGGAAATCAAAAGGAGTTGGACAAGCATCTGGGGGGAACTGTGATTTGTTTTTACACCATGTAGGACTTCCTGGTTCTGTTTCCAAAAATGATACTAACTGCTCCTTAAATAGTTTCATAAAGTACCGTACCTTATAGTGCTAAGATTAATGGTAGCAAAGACCATTAAGTAGAATAGCATGTTCTGTTAAAGCCTTGTCAAAATTTGATCTCCATGTGCAAAAGTAGTTATGGCCCCTGGTGTCGTCATCTTCCTGGTGAGGAGAAATAACACCATAAAGCAAGATCGCAAGCCCTTACGTGCTTGATGTTAGTAGGTTAAGTGGATCTGTGATAATTGTAACTTTTAACTGCTGAGGTGCAAGTGTTGGTGGTTAAACTATATATACTGAAACTGGTTAGTGTATCTTTGTACTGTAACTTCTATTGTGCTGTATTTTTCTTAAAGTCACAGGGAGCGTCAGGCCTTGCTGGTTTATATTGCCTTTTAAGGATAGAAACTTAAGCAATCCATTATTTAAAAAATTGTCCATATGATAATAAAATGATTCTAATATTCTAATATGATTCTATGATTCTAATATGGGTAATAGAAGTGAATTTAAATGTGGATTCAAAAATACTTTTTTCATAAAATGTCAGCATTACTTATTTTCTGCAGAAACTAGCTCTGTGATAATAGCAGATACTGTGCAGGTAAGGAAGTTTCATTGCTTGGTTCTGTGCCATCCAGATGGTACAAACTTCTAAAATAAATTGAAAAATTCATCTTTTACTTGTATTCAAGGACTGAGGCACAAAATGCTAATATAAGGGCTCAGAGGGGAAATATAGTTCTCCTACATATTTGAGAGAATGTGAAGCCCTTTCAGGAAAATCTAATAAACATAATAATCACAGGCTGCTGACACTAAGGAAAAAGCACCTCATTCGCTCTTTCTTTTATGTAGCAATTTAGTGGTCCCTACTGATTTTTAAATTGGATCACTGCAGTAAATTATCCATACCAGTACTTGTGAAAGAAAGCTCTGGGATCCATATTTGTTTAGTTCTGTGCTTAAATCAGCAAGAATGATAAATTTGATGCTATGAAATTGGGAATATCAAGGGCTTTTCTCGGTGAATGAGCAAGTATCTCCATTAGTAATTTACTGTGACCCTTTTTCACTGTATGTGCTTTGTATGTCAAATATTTATTTTGAAACAAATTAAATTGTTTTCTGTATTGATACAGCTATGGTTTTGTTGATGTTCTTGAAATCAAATTGCATAGTTTTTTCTGGATTTAAAATATTACCGGTGTTGTGTTGCAAACCAGCACTTAAGTTCTAATCTTTGAGTTACTGACCAACAGCTTTCCATGCTCACTGTTCTAGGTGTGTGTTGTGGCTTTTTGTTTTGGTTTTGCTTTGTGTGTTTAAGAATAGTGCAGGACACAGTAAGTTGCTGTGGCTTCTCATTTGTTTTTTCTTGCAAAATAGAAAGATTAAGCTGTATATCAAACAGAAAAAAAACCACAAAACTGTCTTTAAATTACTGGAGCTGTTCTGCTTGGTAACACAAAGTCCTTTGAAAAAAGTTACCTACCTGCTCAGTTTACTGGCATATTTTCAGTGCAGATGTTAATAGAGCAAAGTTGACTGTACACCTGTGTTTTGGCAGGAGTCCTGTCCCTTTAGTTTTAAAATAGGTTACTTTGTGACTATGATTACATCAAACTACCTAAGTAAGTACCACTGCTGAACTGAAAATACGTCATAGTGTTTGATCGTTTGGAATTTCTATCAGTATAACAATGATTTGTTTTGCAAATAGTAAGCAAAATTGTGAAGCAGTGTTGTTAGCAATGTGACCCTGTGTTACCCTGTTCTTGTGGGTTAGGCTTGGCTCATTTGTAACAGCATGTTAAATGGCTGACTTCTATTCAACCCCAGTGCTAACCAGATGGGCTTTATTCTACACAGCTGGCTACCGCCATAAAGCTGTGGCTTTGTAGAAGCAGTAGTATGGATTGTGTTCTGAGGAACTATGACAGACTTTGCTCTTAAGTTAACTTGAGTTCATCTCTCTTTATCCTTCTTTCCATGTGCCTGACTGTGGTACCTTGCTTATGAGGGAAATGAAGTGTTGCAGCAGTCCAGACTACTGCCTGGGGTGAGGAAACCAGTTTCCTGAGATCAAGTGCAGATCCTTGTATTCTCATTTGCTGTGCGTGTTCCTACAAATGTTCACTCGTGCACCTCTGCCAATGTGAAGAGCAAGAATTTCACAGAAAAATTAACCTGAAAATCAGAAACTGTAAAGGTGCAGGTCTAGATTTTCTGCAAGTGTTATAGCAATGTCAACTGCAGTTTTCACAAAGGTAGAAATGTAATAGAAGGAGAAGGAAGAAGAATGAGGGGAAAAATAGAGAATGCAGAGAGGTCAGCTCAGATAAAAAGAGGTCTGGAAATCCTACAGGGTGCTGTGTTCCTTTCACAAACTCCAATTTCCCATTCATGGTTTTATACCATTGTCAGCCTCTGGATAGTACTTCAGTTTTCCGGCTGTAAATTATTTCTAATTTAGCCTCTATTAAAATACTATTGGGATAGTGTGTTCAGATGCTGCCTCATTGTACAAGAGTGAACAGACTGATCTTGGTTCACGTAAAATGGAAAACTGCTGCAGTGGAATTATGTGTTCTTATCCATTATGTTTGAAGCTCCTGTAGTGGAAAAGTAGAAAAATAAACACTTACTATGGTCTATATTGCTAATAGGCTTCTTGGCTGCTTTTTATTACTATTTGTTAAGCATTTCTCTTTCCATATTGCTTTACTATAGTTTTATATTGGAAATCTAGGGGCAGATGCAGTATGTGCTATGTGGTGTCTTGTCCTGTTGTATGTTTGCTTCTGTGGGCAAAGACACATAGAATGTGATCATTTTAGCATTTTTTTGATTTAATTTTTTTTTTAATCTAGAAAATCTGACCAAACTGTTTTGAGATGACACATATTTGCCTATTA